ATTTATCTTACCATATATTATTTTCATTTTCTTGAATGGTTCAAATCTTGATTTATTTTAATTTGAAAAGTGTAAACACTTGTATCAAAATGCATGTACAATTTATCTAGAAGTCATTTTATGTGTCTTTGTAGCACAGTAATCTGGATTCTGGTTTCATACAATTTTTTTTCATCTACAGGCTGTGATTTCAGATACATACAGACTTTAACATAAATCAGTGTTTCCTTCCCAATGAAAACAAAGTGTTTTCTATTTATGTTACTGGCATGATTCTTATTCTGTTGTTCATGCTGTTACCAAGGAAACACTATCATGTGACGAACTGCGTGGATTTGTCTGACAAATCAAGTTAGCTCATTCTCTCAACAATAAGAGCCTCAAAATAGCCATAGAATGGCCTACCACCCACCACACAGTATGGATATGCTTGTATTTATATTCTACAATTGATAAATTTATTTTTCTGTATGTGTACATGTCACATCTTGTCCATGTTAGCATTGCTTGTTATTTAGATAGTAGAGAGGTGATTATTATACAGAATGTAACTAAAAAAAATATTGCGATACCTATGCATCATGTAGTGTCAAATTGTGGTATACCTGTGTCCTTAAAGCCCTAAAATACAGGACTTTGATATTTTCATTTATTTATAATTTGTTGATTTAAGTTTTAAAATTGAACATAGATAGATAGAGTATTTTATCTAAATTCATATGTCTGCAAAGGTTTGAAATGGCCTCTTTGACCTTGAAATGTCAGGATCTATTAAGGGGTTGAAGGACACATGGTCACATGACTTTGTTAAACTACGCCATAGTCTCCATTTATATAAGTGCAAAACGTGTAAAGCATCAGTTCTTGTATAAATTTTTGACAAATATTTTTCTTTAATTACCATCTTATATTAAATAAATAAAAAGTTTAACATTCTTGTAAACATTAACAAATTATGAAAAAAGATTGATCCACTCCTCTGTTTCTTTAAACTGCGCGTCCAACAAGTCGGTGACGTCATACACGATCTGCTAGTACAGCAAGATCATACTCGGTGAATACAAGGGCGGTATTATTATGTAAAAACAGGTCATAATCAGTATATGATGAAGTATTTTGAGAAACGGGGAACACAAAAATTATTTTTGCATGGCTGATGACGGAAATCTTATGTAGGTATATCTTATTTCGCTTATTTAGCTTACGTGTGACGTCATAGTTGGTTTTTCCCGTACTCGAGAAATGTAAACATGACAAGTTTTTGTCCTGCTTATGTCGTCTTTAACGATGTCTTGTGCAATATTGAGGTCAGCTTCACCATTCGAAATTTTTACAGTTAATCAATAATTTGAAGGACTTGCATTTCAATGTAAATTTAAAAATATTGAATGATAGGATTTTTTGTAAATTACGTTTTATGTTGTTTAAGTTGTCTTAAAAAGTTCGTAATTTTTCCTATCCAGATGCAGTGTGGTAGATGAAACTTGCCTTTTCGAATTTTAAACCCAATTCATACTCTGAAATATTTTAAAAGATACATGTTCACTTACATATTTTTTACATATGCTTTAAAAATCCAATTATGGACAGAGTAATGAGCCCGGAAACATGGAGAATTAAAACTCCACTTAGATACTGCAGGGCATAATATTTGTCAATCAATATCTCTAAAATAAGGTAAGAAACCTAATGATATAACTGCTTTAAGATATTTGGGATATACTTAATAAGAAATATACAAAATATTAAAAAAATTGAATGACAAGTATTTTTTCAGCTAAAGGTCCTTCTTCCCCTTAAAATATGCAAGCAGTGATGCAAAGAAAAATGCCTTTGATGAGAAAATCTGTTTACTTGCTGTTTTACTGCTTATTCTCTTCTAGTTCTAGTCTCATTAAAAACTTTTCAAACGTAGTTGTTAACATTAGTTCAAAAACTACTTAAGGATTTTATATGCTAGAAAGTTGAAATAATGCACACTCACACATACAATGTACATATTTATTGATCTCTCATTAAAATGATAAAAAATATAAATATAATGCATAAATTTAGTTTTAAAATGTATTAATAGACTTATTACATGAATATTATTCCTTTCAATGAATTAACGCCGCTGCTCAAATGCTTGGATTGTTACATTGTCTGATTCTTGCGGATGTACTTTTTCCTACTCATCACTGGGCGTATCAGACGATGGGATTGTTTAGTATGGTTGTTTAATATACATATGAGTGCCTGAATATGCATCCCTTGTCTTTCCAGGAAAACCAAATTTACTTTGCTCAAATAAATAAATTGAAATTCAATTTATTGTGCAACTCATTGTTTATAGCAATCATTGTATTGATGTTCATGTAATAAATGATTAATCATTTTATCTGATAATTGTACCAGTGATATGTGATTTATCAGCTCATCGGATAATAGTAAAATGTAAAGAGACAACAATTTGATTCTGAAAGGGAGGAGGGGGTTGAAAAAAATCTGTCCTCAAAAATGTTGAAAATACTCTGTCTTTATCTGGCATAAAAATAATTTGTCCCTTTGCTACAACCCCTTTTCTCCACCAGAATTAAAATGTAGGAGTTATGGTAGTGTCTTCTTTTGATTTGCTTGTCAAACTTCTTTCATTGAAGAAGAAAATAAATAATCGGTCCTTCTCTGACATGGAAAAAAAGTAATCAGAAATTTATCCCCTTCTTTAGACTAAAATGGTTCTCTCTTAAGAATATATTCAATTTTTAATCCAGATTAATACAAAGTACAACTGATATTCTATGGACATGTTTGCAATGTCACAATTTAACCGGACGGAGGTAAATTAATTTTTTTTATTTCATTATATCAAGAGGCTACATGAAGTACTTTCAATTTGTTTATGTCATAGTTAATGCATTCCTCATACAAAGTGTACATGTACATGTATACTAGGCTTAAATGCTAGTCCACAAGTTATCATTTAACCTTTGTGTTAATTTTCCATATTTATTTCATATCTTTATCATAAATGAAGTGTTTTATGCAAAGATTCAGTTTATAAAATGTCTGGGTACATTTCCTGTGTATTTTGTTTGTTGAAAGAGTTGATTGGCTATTTGCGATTCCTCACAAAAGAATAGAACATATTACACGATATCATAAGTAAGGGCAAATCCAGTACTTTCAGGAACGACATTATTATCAAGGTTTGGTTCATTTACGTAGGTCTAAAACAATCACTTGTCTAGGCCTAATATGCACTTTTAACCATCCAAATTTCAAATTTGGTAGAGAAATTAAGACATTGAATGCGTAACGACCATATCTATGCCTTAATTCATACATGTAAATGAATGGTGCGATTTTTCTTGTCATGGTATCATTTTGGAAGATGATATTAAATAAAAATAGCTACCATAGGAACATTTACAAAATCTTTCTCCTTCCTCTTTCTTGAAACATGTCACCTTGGTTTTAACACACAATCCACCCCCCTACCCCCAATATATTTATATTTTGAAAAAGGGAAAGTAAATAAAAAGAAAAAGAAAAGGACAATTGCCGTCACCTTAAAAATGTCTTATGATCTAGAAGTAAAAAAGAAAGTGAAACAAGCTTTCTGAAATTTGCACAGTGCTCTGTTTTCAAAACGAAACAAGCACATACATTGGTTTTCAATGACATCATCACCTGTAGTAAAACAATTACCTGCTGGGATATCAAATATGGACATCTGATCAACAAGAAAAGGCAATTTAAGGTATGTGCATCGCTTTTTTTTCTGATCTAAACAAAAAGTAGGCCAATAATAATCGGTAATAGACATTGAATTTTATATCATATTCTTAAATTGTCTGATTTCTAACTTTTAAATTATTTTTCAAAGCTGTTCCACAAATTTACAGTTTCAAAAAAGTTGGAAATTATTAATCGTTTAGCTTTTTTAATATTTTCTCTGTAACATTTGAACCTAGTAAAAATAAAAGTGGCATGTTGTATCATTCATCATGTTCATATAATGACTGATATTTTGAAACCCTCTAAAAATAATATCACATCGAGTTAAAAAAAAGGACAATATTCGAAATGTTTTATAACGTACTATCATATATATATATATATATATATATATATATATATATATATATATATATATATATATATATATATATATATATATATATATATACCTGTATACTTTAGCTGAAATCAGCTGTATCTATATTTAAGATATTTTTAAACATAGCATTTTGAATTTTCCTGGGTCTATTTTAAGAAACAATGTCCAATTATAAAAATAGAATTGGAAAATTTGAAAACTGAACTGTACCTCAAAAGTACATAAACATTTAATCTATTTGATGATAACAAAATGCTACATGTTTATTAAAAAAATTTTAAAATATAGATTCCAAAAGTAACGTTAACAAATAAGGCATTTCACGAGGAATTACTTTGTCAGAGAAATTAGGGATGGAAACACATATTTTAAAACACTATGGTGGCTTATTTCTGCCCTTACGTGCAAGATAGATTATGTCAACAATCAAGATAACTATGTCCAAATGCAATATTATTATGTTGACATGTGTGCTGCAAATCTTCTTAGAGAATCTGAATTTAAAATGGTTGAATCTACTTATTAACGCCAGTATCTTACATCATAGAAACAACAAAATAATGTCGTTATGCGACTTATTTATGTCAACATGCGAGATAATTACATGTATGTCAACATGCATCTTGCATGTGAACATAAAAAACTTGCATGTTGACAAAAGTAAGTCTTATGGTGACATAAATAAGTCGCATGTTGACAGAAATAAGTTTCATGCCAACATAATTATTTCGCATGTTGACTTAAATATCTTGCATGTCAACATAATCTTGCATGTAGACATAGTTTTTTTGACATACTTTTCTTGCAAGTTGACATAATTTATCTTGCATGTAGAGGGTAGATAAATACCGCCATAAACACTGAACATTTTTTTTTAGGAATTATAGACATAATACGCAATGATGGATGGCAGACATTCAGGTGGTAACAAGGGGAGAGGGAATCAGAGGCGAGGTGGTGGGGGACGCAGAAATTATAGAGATCAAAGACCGAGGAATACAAAGGAACAACTTTCTCAGAGGGAGTCGAGAGACGCACCAACACCGCCACCCAAACATACCAAAAACAAAGAGCAGTCATCAGAAATGCTGCACAAGAAAAGTGAAAGATTACTAACTGAACCAGGACCAACATACAATCTCATTGTTTATAAACCATTCGAAGGAGAGATAAATTTCTTAGAATACTTAAAAAAGAAAGGCCTGCCATCACTATTCAAATTTAATATTGAATCTTTCACAGTAAATCCTAAAGGATTATCAACTTCCGTTTGGGTTCATTTCCCAAGCAACAATGCCTATAGACAGTTTCAGTTGTGGATGCAACAGACCAAAAATCTAGGTTTTGTGCACCGTTTTCAAAGAGAAGAAGTTGCAAAAGTAAGTAAAGAATTTATTGATAAGAATCTACAGAATATTCAGGAACGAAGTAACCATATAATGGGAATGCATCAAGAAAAAATTAAGGAAACCAAACAAGAATTATCAGATTTTCTTGGAACAAAGAAACCCAAGAAAAAGACAAACTATGTTCCCCTTTCTGAATTTGAACGGAGAGAAATGCAGACAAAAACACTTGAAAGCAAAATTTCTGAACTTGAAAATCAACTTATCGAGTTTGAAAGTTCTGTAGAAGATATCAAAAGACGATTAAAAGAGTTTGAAGGAGGTACTGTAAGACAAGACCACATCGACCAACTGCTAAGAGAATTTGAAATAGAGTATTCAAGGCTAGAGCAAGCACTACCAATTTATGCTAAACGTTCAGAAATAGTCAATTCTGTTTCACAAAATCAAGTATGCATCCTTCTTGGAGAAACAGGGTCCGGGAAAAGCACACAATTAACACAGTATCTTTTGCATTCTAAACTGCCTTCCAATGGCCGTATTGTTTGCACACAGCCTAGAAAAGTAGCAGCTGCAAGTCTTGCTCAGCGGGTCGCAATTGAAATGAAGTCTACTGTGGCAGATATAGTAGGCTATCAATGTGGAATTCAGAAGAAAGTTTCAGACCAGACAAAAGTTGTTTACATGACTGACCATACACTGTTAAATGAATGCATCAAAGATCCTTTGTTAAATAATTACTCCTGCATTATTATTGATGAGGCACATGAGAGAAGCATATACACAGACCTTTTACTCGGTATGATAAAAAAGTGTTTACCTCGGAGACAAGACATACGCATCATCGTTACGTCTGCAACAATTGATCCAGAACTTTTTGTTCGATATTTTAAAGACTGTCCAGTGATAAAAGTACTTGGCAGAATGTATCCTGTCGATGTGGAATGGGAAACTTTCTCTGGAGATGATGACTTGGAAGAATATGAAAGAAAAGGAATTGAAAAGACGTTGGAAATCCATGACAAGGAACCCCCTGGTGACATTCTACTTTTTCTCACAGGTCAGCTGGAAATCGAGAATTGTATAGAAAGACTACAATGGGAACTCAAGAGTAGAACTGATCACTTGATATTGCCACTTCATGGTAAACTTCAAACAGAAGAACAGAATGAAATATTCAAAGAAACGCCACCGGGTAAAAGAAAAATTGTTATTTCCACTAATGTGGCAGAAACTTCTGTAACAATTCCTGGAGTGAAGTATGTGATTGACACTGGGCTTGCAAAAGAAATGAAATATGATCCAGACAAAAAAGTTAACTCCTTAAAGGTTGTTAGAATAACAAAAAGTTCTGCTGATCAAAGAAAAGGAAGAGCAGGGAGAACGGCTGCTGGGAAATGCTATCGATTTTATTCCAAAGAAGCATATGACAACATGACAGCATCTTCTACTCCAGAGATTTTGAGGATTCATATCGGTCATGCCATTCTGAAATTGCTGCAACTAAATGTGAACCCTCTTGATTTTGATTTTGTCGAGGCACCTCCAAGTAATTCGATGGAAACAGCCTTTCAGCAATTGGTTAATCTTGCAGCAGTTAAAAATGAAAAAATTACTGATCTAGGGCGCTGGATAGCACAGCTTCCCTTGGAGCCTAATTTGGGAGTTTTTGTTCATGATGCAATTGAGATGAACGTAGGCATGGACGCTATCATTATTGCAGCATCATGCACAGTGAGTGGGAATTTGTTTTACAGAGCTGGAACAAAAGAACAGAAAGATAAATGTGACAAATTAAAAATTCCTTTCTGCCATATTAAAGGAGATCATTTCACATTTTTAAATGTCTTTAAGGAATGGCATTGCATTCCTGAGAAGGAGAAAAGTAAGTGGTGTTTGGTAAATTCCATCAATGGAAGGGCCATGAGAAGCATACGAGACACTGTAAACGAGATCAGATTCATCTTGAAAAATTACATGAATATTACAATAAAGTTTGAATTGAAAGATAAAGATAGTATAAGTAAAGATAGAAATGAGAGAACATTACAAAAGCTTTTATTTAAGGCTTTTCGTAGTAATCTTTCTTACTTCCTTGGACATGAAAAGGCTGGATATTATTCCATTGATAAAGACCAGCAAATGACTGTTCATCCTTCTGCATCTTTCCAGTCTCTTGCATTATTTCCAAAATGGGTTCTAATCGAGAAAGTTTTGAACACTTCTCGAGAATTTGCTGTTAATATAACAGAAGTGAACGAAGACGACGTACAGGAAGCCTTAAAAAGAAATGAAATAAATTTTGATATGTCGGGAATAGAAAGGAAAAGAATTGAACCAATTTATACAGAATACATTGGATCACAAGTTCACTACAAATTTGTGGGCCCAAGATGGAAGCATGCAAAAGACTTAGAAACCAAACTTAAAAAAGTAAATACAGATTCAATTTTTGTAATTGATGCAGACAGAGACAAGGGTGAAGTTTCAATTTATGCACCTGCAGATAAGGATGAAGTGGCAACAGAAACACTGAAGATGGAACTTGATCCGATAAGAGAAAATATAAGGAAGGAGAAGGTTATTATTCCTATCTTTCCAAGGTGTTATAATGTTAAACTGTCCATTGGACCAGGTGGATTAATACAAGACCTGTTGTGTGAAGATGATTATAACAATGTTTATGTATACTGCTCAGAAGATGAATTTGAATCTGATGAAGAATTGGTGGAATGGATGAAACAGTTTGGTGAAATTCAAAAGTTTCAAAAGAAATCTCCAGCAAATACCAATCAAAGATATCGTGGTGAAGTAGTGTTTGAGAATAGCGAATCTGCGAAGAAGGCAGTTACAGAATTACGTGACAGTACATCAAAAATTCACATAAAACCCCCAGGTTGGAAAACAGACGATTCTGATGCATTCAAAGCTAAAATAATGTGGTGTCGCAGACAATCCCGAGGATTTGGGTTCCTGCAAATTATGAATTCAGAAACATTGGAAACCGTTTTGACTTTAAGCTCCTGGACACAAGTTTCAGTTGGTGGATCAAATGTGAGTATTAGTCGTAGTAGAGAGAATGCTGACCAATTGTGTGTTCAAGGCTTCAGTCGTCTTGTCAATGAAGACATTCTCAGAGAAGGAATAGTGGAGGCCTTCAATATACCAGAGAATGAGATCGGAAAAACTTTTGTTCCACGTGAGAAAGTATTTACAACTAGGGAAATAATGGACATACATAAGCGAAGAATCGAACGGCATATTGCACAATTCTTGAATCCAAACAAGTTCAATGTTCATCTAAGAGAACCCAGACAGCTAGATTATAACTTCAGTGGTTTTATCACCTTCACTGACCCCGAACAAGGCAATGAAGTCTGCGCTAATTTGCAAAGCAGAAACCAATTGTGGATCAGTGACACAGTAGTTACTGTTATTCCAGAAATTCACACTCGTTTATATGTACTGGAACGGGTATTCAAGCGGGTTAGTAAAGATATCAAAGATTTTTGTGCTGAAGCTAAGAAAGATCGAGTAACTGTTGATATAAAGCAGAATACAACTGGTAACTATATTCTGAATATAGAGGCAGAAAGCGTAGACAACATGATTAAGACGAGAGACACTATACAAAATCTTCTTCAAGGTCAAATCTTGAAAATGGAAGATAATCCATCTATAAGATGTATGTTCACAAGGGAGGGACGGAGCAAAGTTGACAAAATCATGGAGGAAACTCACACTCTCGTAATTTTGAACGACAGAAATACGACTATTTCTGTTCATGGCAAAGAGAATGATCGGGCTTTGGCAATTTCAAAAATTCAAAATTACACAGAAAAACTGGCCTCCTCAAAGGTGAGGTGGATCGATCTGAAGGGTGAAACCAAGCCTCCTGGATTGATGAAACGAATTATCCTGATGTATGGTGTAGACCTGCAGGGTTTGAAAGATGAATCTGATTTATCCAGCGCAGAACTTGACCATAGAAGACACAAGATAAAAATGTTAGGTTCCGATGAAGCAATACAATCGGCAGTTGATGAAATTGGAATTCTTACGAAAAAGCTGTTAAAAGACAACCAATACCAAATACCATCAACTGACCCAGATTGTGGAATTTGTCTCTGGCCAATAACTGATTGTGATCTATACCGACTAGAATCTTGTGGTCATGCATACTGTAGAGATTGTGTGAGGTTGCATTTGAATTCTGCTATAAGTACAAAAGAGTTTCCTTTACGTTGCTGTTATGAGGATTGTGATATGCTCTGGGCTTGGAGTGATATAAAAAACATGAAGAAATTCGGCTTCTGTACCATTCAAACTTTGATAGATGCCTCAGTCGCTTGTTACGTCGCCCAGAATAAAGATAAAGCAAGATACTGCATTACACCTGATTGTCAAATGGTGTACAAGGTCAGCCAGGGAGGAAGTAGATTTGTCTGCTTTCTCTGTCATACAGCATTATGTAGCAAGTGCCACGTGGAATACCACACGGGTAAATCCTGTGCTGTGTTTGAAAAAGAAAAGCAGCTAGACGAAACTGGCTTTGGAGAATGGATAAGTCGTGATACCTCAAACAGAGATCTTTGTCCAAAATGCTACATAGGTATAGAGAAATATTACGGCTGTCAGCATATGAAATGTTTGCTATGTAAATGTCATATTTGTTGGATATGCAAAGCTTATTTTGAAACAAGTGATGAATGTTATTGTCATATGTCTCAAAGTCATGGCAAATTTATATAGAAAAAATACCATTGTCGTTGAAAATTCAGTATTATATTGCTATCTGATTTATTGAAATCATGGTGTGGAATGACATTTGTGTTACCGGTAATGTTTCAACCATTTATTTCCAAGTTTAACAATTGCAAATTGAAGCTTCATACGTGTTTGTCTCTATGCTGTTATACAAATTTTTAAGTGATCATTTTTTTTCCAATAATGGCAAAGTGTCAAATTTATGAATTTATTAAGCTTTTTTACAAGTATATTATCTGATCAGCACTGTAAGCTCACTTAGCACTCGAACAATAACCTGAGTTCACTCATTTTTCAAAGAGTTCTCTAACTGGTCAACCAGACTTGGAATTTAAATTATCTGCATTCACTTCTTAACAGTCAACAATGAATTGCTCAATACATTCCGAGTTGGCCCACTGATCCCCTTACCTGCACTGAATGCAATTATGAATAACCTGCTCATCCACCTTCTCATGGCAATGAAAGTACTAAGTGCTTCATATGAGCACTGAGTGTTTGCTCAAGGTCACTTAATACTTAGTACCGAGTTCATGCTCGATTTTACTCAGCACTTAATCACTACACTTTGTTCACATACTGTAAAGATATAAATCTTGGAGAGAATATATTCTGTCCGAGGTTCACTTAGACACTTACCACTATAAAGACCCCGTTTACTATCAGGTGATTACACTGATGGGAAAAATATAATCATTATCAATTTATCTAAAAGCTTAAATGTGACGTTTATCTCATTGTTGGTAATCACTACGTTTAAGTGATTGTTTTAAGTGCTGTAAAATTATGCCTGGCTGAAAAGAAACTTTGGAATATTTTTGGATAAATGGGTAGACGATATCCAAAATATCAAGGAATATGTGTAATATCAATAAGACTAACTATACTGCTGATGTAGTATTAAAAATGGAAAAAAGACAATGAATTATTTTAAGAGATTTGCATATTTTCACTGACAACATCTAATGCCATTGATTTGTAATGTAATTGTTTAAATCCGATGAAATGACGTATATGGTATGATGCATTTACAAAAACATATTTTTTTTAAATGTTTTTATATGTATTTATGTTTTATAATAAAGGTAGAAGTGCAATGTCTAAATTTTTATTTTCATCATGATGCAATATACATGTATATAAAAGTTCCTTAATTTTTTTTCTTATTTATTCACTTTCACCTATATATGTTATAAGGAGGCTGGGGGGTCAACAAATTAACCATCAGATATAACTTAATTTTTTAGATATGATATCTTAAGCTGTCAACTATCATTTGGCAAACAAAAATTTCATACATTTTAGTTTTAAAATTTGACCATTTTTGTATATCTTTATTTGGAGCTCTTCTTCTAAAGGAGATCAATATAGTCTGAAATGGCCACAACCACCCAGCCCTCTTAAGTCTCCCAGTTGATTCGATACGCAAAAGCATGTTCTAAATACGATCAGTTTTGAAAACGAGGTAAGATATTAACCAACGAGTTGATGAAACAAGGATATCAACAGTCTGGTTTGAAGTCATCATTTCGCAAGTTCTATGGTCGATACAATGACCTTATCAGCAAATACAATTTATCATTAGGTCAATGCTGACTGACGTTTTTCATACTAATTGTTAGGCTATCATTTACACAATGACATTTCTACGAATTTTTCTGTTTGCAGGGTCATGACAATGAGCACACGGCGGGTGTGACCGGTCGACAGGAGATGCTTACTCCTCCATGGCACCTGATCCCACCTCTGATGCTTGTAGAGATCCGTGTTTGCTCTGCTCCCGATTTGTTTTGTTTCAATGGATTTTTGAGCTTGATTACTGTTCATTTTCTCTTATATATTTCGTATTATTCAAGGCACTGTAAGTTGAAAAACAGCAAACAAACACACAAACAAATACACACAAAAACATTTGATACGTCTAAAAACTGTAAACCAACTATTATTCGCGTCATCTTTTTTCGCGAATCGGCAGTTTGAAATCAATCCACGACAATAATTTTCGCAACTGAGGAATTATTCTCTACAAATACAAAGAAAAACGATTAATAATCGTGAGTTAAAGTAGGTCGCGAAAATTTCTCGCATGCGATAAAAGTTGGTTTACAGTACATAGTATCATCTGAAAAAAATGATAGGCATTTCTCAATTCAAGTGTAAAGACCTGCCATTAATTGCACTGAATACACCTAGAGTTGTCGATCTTACACCATTCTTACTTGCTAATATCGTCGTCCGAGTGGCACAGTGGTTGGAGCGTCTGCTCTAGAGTTGCGAAGTAAGGAGCTGATCCTTACGTAGCGGATTTGAATCAACTGCGGGACGCGGAGTCCGGTCCTTTGGATGAGACCGTATAAACCGAGGTCGCGTGTGGCAGTAGGTGTTGGCACGAAAAAGATCCCTCACTGTTCAATGGCCCTGAGTGCCGAGTATAGGTATAAATTTGCAGCCCTCCACCGGCAAGTGGTGGCATCTCCATATGAGTGAAAAAGAGAGGGACATTAAACAACAAACAAACTCACAATGCAGACTATATTCCATTGTTGAAAATTTTATAGATGGTTTGTATTCAGATATTTTTGGCCAGGACATGAAAACTAGAGTTTCAAACCAGTGCAACGCTCCAAGATTTAGCAGACTGGTCATTAGTTCGATATTAATATTGACGTAAGTAGTTCATGTACTTTGTTAGTAGTATCTGAAAACTTATTTCTAGCTCAGACTGTGGGCTTTACAAATGATATATCCTGGATGATATATCCTGTATTTAGTTCGCAAAAAATTTTTCTACATGCATGTACTTTGACTTACAGTCAGTTTGCTAGAAGCAATTAAACAAACAGTACATGTTTTATTATCTGCAATCTTAACGATCAGGTCAAAAATGTGATGATAGTTTCCAGTATCTACAAAATCTGAAGAGACAGAAAAAAATATGTAGAAAAAAATGTTGAAGTATCTTATTATCATTGAAAAATGATAGTTTTAAATATACATGCACACTATAATAAAGGAAACCAGACAAACATGCGCTGTTAAATGTTCAGTCTTATGTATGGATTATGTAATTAAGTTTAAATTTGCTTGAGATAAATATCTACATATTACTTTATTCTTTTTCATTATGGGTATAAAATTGCAAGATTACAAAGTAATTTTCTTTAATTTATGTCAATGGCACATGCATTAGAAACAGTGCTTACCATGGACTGATTCAAACATCTTTTTAGCTTACCTGAGCCGAAGGCTCAAGTGAGCTTTTCTGTTCAAAATCTGTCCGTTGTCTGTCGTTGTCGTCGTTGTTAACTTATCACATTTTCATCTTCTTCTCAAGAACCACAGGGTCAATTTCAATCAAACTTGCCACAAAGTATCCTTGGGTAAAGGGGATTCAAGTTTCTTCAATTGAAGGGTCACGCCTTCCAAGTGGAGATAATTGCGAATTCGTGAAAAATTTATGGCATCTTTTAAATATCTTCTTCTCAAGAATTACTTGCTAGAAAATATAAAACTTATTTGAAGCAAATCTCAGGTAGTGTAGATTCAAGTTTGTTCAAATCATGACCCCCCGGGGGTAGGGTGGGGCCACAGTGGGCGATCAAAGGTTTACATAAATACTATGTTTAAAGTACATCACAGTTTGGTACCTGATTATTTAAAAAAGTATTTTTCCCTCAATAAGGAGTGTTGAATCAAATTACAACACACGTAATCGAGATGACTACACTATTCCTAGATGCAGACTCGAAATATTTAAGAAATCTTTTGTTCCCGATACAGTAAACCAATGGAATAGTTTAAGTATGACCACAAGAAACAGCTCAACTTTAGTAGTTTTAAAAACAATATACATAAAAAACCAGCAGACCCCCCCCTCCTTATTTATGTTATGGTAACAGACGACTTAATTTCATACATACTAAACTACGACACGACTGTATTTTAAATTATGATCTTTATAAAAGAAACATTATTGAGAGTCCTAATTGTTCATATGGTACACCAGAAGACCCATATCATTTCTTCTTTGTATGTAATAAGTATCAACATGCTAGAGAGGAACTATTTAGAAACCTACTATGTCTTACTAATCCAAACACTAAATTGAATATTATTGATTGTCACCTACTTCTGTGGGGAGAAGAGTCACAAAATGTTGAAATCAATAAATATTTTTTTCAATCTGTACAAAAATTTATGAGATTCTGGCAGATTCAATTAATTATTACAGCCTAACACTAAAACTCTAGTTAGTTATATATTTATCATGTAATGAATGTATGTTTACAACAAACATATTTGTACATCAATATTTTTGTTTTCTATATATAGACCTTGACAGTTGTAGCCATTTAGAGAACCTCGTAAGTTGTTACAACTTGTGTTCAAACCATTTGTATATTATTTATACAATAAAATTATGTTCAAACAAAAAAAGTTTTACATAGGAATACATAGGGAAAATTTCAAAAATCTTCTTCTCAAGAACAGCAAAGCAATGAATGGTCATATTTATATGGAAGCATCCTCAGGTAGTGTAGATTCAAGTTTTTTTCAAATCATTACCCCCGGGGGTAGGGTGGGGCCACAGTAGACAATCAAAGTTTTACATAGGAATACAAAGGGAAAATCTTTAAAAATCTTCTTTTCAAGAACAGCAAAGCCATGTTTGATCATATTTAAATGGAAGCATCCTCAGGTATGTAGATTATTAGTCATGTTTGTTCAAATTATACCCCCCGGAACCACTTTAAATATTTAAATTTTTCAATACTGAACTGATTTCTGCATTTTCCTCGCCAAAGTGCTCAGTTGGGCGATGTGGCCCATGGGCCTCTTATTTACAATTTGAAGGATAACAAAGAAAGACAATCCTGGTTCCGTCTTCTTGTTAACCTTACATAGTTTTCATCCCCAGTCAATATATTCACAGTATCGGAAAGTTAACGTCTTTAACGACGTGCACTGGAGCTTGAAATTGATTGAAGGGTTAATAGTTAGGATAATCTCTTCTATAAATAGCTTTTAACTACCTCTTAGACAGAATAAACTTTATTGAAATACCCGGTATGTGTTTAGGTGAAATCTCACCTCTTCTCTTGTTTACACTGGTCATAACTCACGTGTATTGTCACGTTCTGTGAAGTGAAATCCTCCCTGTATAAATATCCATGTATCATCGTCTATCCCAGTTTATTATTCAAATCACAAATCATGCTGCTTTTGCTTTTTGTATCGTTGATTTTATTGGACATTTCCAACGCTCAAATCTTTGGTTTTGGGAGATGTGCTCAGGTGAAAACCCAGGAAACTTTTGATATTAACAGGGTGAGTTTTATTGTTTTCATTGTACATTTGTAGAAAAATGATAAAATTTGATTGAATAAAGGTCTTTTTGAGAGATATGAATATATACATAAACGACGATGGCTTTTTCTTAAGGAACCTGTGCCTTCTTTTATTTGCAGTATCTTGGAACATGGTATGAAATATATAAATTTAAAGCCAACTTTGAAGGAAATGCAAAGTGTATCTCAGCAAATTACGAGCTAAAATCAAATGGTCATATCCGAGTCCATAATTCAGGAATTGAGTGAGTTGGTATTGTTTTCAGCATCCCTTATGATATAAAGACACGCATCTCAAGATATAGATATTTAAAATCATTTCGATAATACAGCAATGCATACTATTGTAAATTTTATATGAATACTTAATCCTTTACGTTTTAAACAATCTATTCAACAACAAAAGCATTTCTCTAATATATTAATGTAAACAACGGTAGATTATGTTTATGAAAACTGAATTGCCAACTGTTGTCTTTAATATTTGTTACAATTAGTGTTTGTTTATTCCATTCAGAAATGAACAAATTAAAGAAGCCACTGGGGACGCGTACATACCGGACCCAAAATATCCAGCAAGGCTAGGCGTGAAATTCTCTAATCGTAAGTTACACATTTTATCTTTATTGACCTAAAACACAGATCAAGACAGATGAAATTATAATGCAGTCCTTACACTTAAAATTTCTTTGAATGGATCTAATTTCTGAAGTTTTCAGCTTATCTAACAATGATGCTGGAGATACATTTTGTCATCATAGAAGAAATCTCATCTTAGATGGTATTAAAGAAGATAGGGAAATATCCACGAAACAAATTTTAAAAACTTTGAGTTTTTGACTTTCACCTTTAAAATTTTTCATATCTAGATACATTACTTCTATTTATTAGGCAAAAAAAATCATCATATTAACAAATGATAAATATATATGGCACATACCTTAAAAATGGAAATTTTTTATTTGATCACTTCAGTGGCTCCATACGGAAGATACTGGGTTTTGGACACCGATTATACAACCCACACAATGATATACTCATGCACGGACATTTTGGGGATCTTCCATTTTACATATGCCTGGATCTTGAGTCGCGAAAGAACGCTGGATCAATCTGTGACAAACCGACTTTTCAGCAAGGCTGCCTCTTTCGGCATCGATACGTCCAACTTCTTAAAACAGGATCAAACTGGATGCTAAAGTCTTACGTCTCAATTTTATATTTGTTTTGTTCATGTTTGAAATGTTTTTTTTTTTCAATAAAAACAAAATTTAGTTGATCTTAATTTTTACAGCAAAATTACCATTTGTAAATATATTTTGATACTTTTATTTACTTTTTATCGTCACTTTTCTTGAAAAGAAAGGAAAGTGTCAATTTAAAATTTCTTTAAAATTTTGAATATACAGCTGTACTTGATTAGATACATGACTAGTAATCATTAATTCAAAATTTACATGATATATTCCTGCACTACACATTCGGAGTGAACAATGCTGAATATACAAGACAAATCGGTAAAGTACTGTACTACCGTGCCTCAGAACAAATGGACCCAAAAAGATAATAATTTAAAAAAAAAGAAATTATATAACAATTCCTGCCTTCGAATTATGGATGTTTAGTATTCACTTATTGAAGATTTTTTAAAGTTTCTTTAATGTTTTATGTATCTCCCTTGTTTTACTTGTGGAAGTTGTAACAACTGTCAGGGGAATCTTCATATATGGCAAATTAACTGGTTGTCGAGCGGCACGACTAATAGGATCACTGGGGGGGGGGGGGGGTATGTTTGCGTCACTTAGTTCTCACTTTCTTTTAGGACACCGGTAGCTAAATACATAATGGAGATTTTCAAGATGGTAATAATAAGTTATCTACAATTAATATGTATATTTCTTGAATCGGGATTTTAATTTGAAAGTTCTTTTTTTTATATATATACTTTCCTCTACATTTGTCTTCATGCTTTTCTTTTTATCAATGAAAAATCATATTCGTCTAAAGAATGAAAGAAATAATACCACTTAAGTAAATAACAGTAACAAGAAAGACAATCCATTCTAAAAATGATACTTTCTATCATTTAATACGTGGAATAATATTAAGCATGGCCTACTAAATATCAAAATCAAATAACGTATATATATCTATTGTTTTTACCGTGAAGTATGGAGATAAAAAACAGTAATCATGCTCAAAAGTCTGAGGAAACTACACAAATCGTGAGCACAGTAAATAAGTACCTCTATCTGAACACAGAGGTTAGATCAGGTGCCATCTGGAGTAAGCATCCCCTGTCGACCGGTTACACCCGTCGTATGCCCTTTGTCATAATCGGGTACACGGTGAAATCCGTAGTCAAATCGGTATGAAAATAATGGCCTAACAATTTGTATGAAATACGCCAGTTAACATTCGACCTAACGGCAAATTGTATTGGCTTAGATTTAACACTCGGTTCACATATCAATCAAATTATCAAAGGTATAAAGCATGATAATCTGTATACATGTTATTATCATCCTACTCTTACAAATTTGAGAATAAATGTATTGTAAAAGTGCATTCAAAGGAAATATTTTTGGGTAAAGAAATTTTCAAGATTCAAACGTTGTTGACCTAGAAAACTTCATAAATTCTTATTTGGTAAATTATTTGGTAAATTAACAACATATTTTATTTTTGTTTGGTCTTTGTATAACAATACTATTGACTGTATACATGTAGCTCAAAATAAAGAGTTTTTTTTAATTTAGAAAGCTAGAGAAAACTATATATGGTCTTTCGACTTCATAATTTCATAAATATTATGAATTCTGTGGAAGGTGGGCCAGACACGAAAAAGTAGACCTTGACACTTAGCCAGAATGGATTAAATCAGGCCCGTAGGAAGCAATTTCAGTTGGGGGGGGGGGGCAGCCGCACATTTTCAGTTGGGGGGTACTATTGACTACCAAAAAATCCTTGACAAGCAAAAAAAGGTCATTAGACGTTTTTATTGGGGGGGGGGGGGCACAAGCATATACATGTAGTAGCTATGTTTTCTAAAGTACTATATAATACTATATATCGGCAAAATTAATGGGGGCACGGATGTATCAGATGTATGTTAAAATTACGCACTTAGCGATTGAGGGGCAATATGAAAACCATCTATCCTTCTGTTTTCAATAATTCAGAAGTGAAAAAAGAATTAGATAGATCACACGATCAGTATGTACTGGACCCAGCTGACAAAGCAGGTAATAACATTGTCTTTGTTTAATTTGTAAGGCTCATTATTTTAATTGTATTTTAGAGGAACTGGGATTTAATTCTACAAGTGGTAATCCAACTTATACCCATAGCCCCCTTTCTAAGGATTAAATTCTTCAAAAACATATGTCAGTTTTGAGTATTTTTAATTTTCCCAACAACCAAAATGAATTTGAATTACCATATCTATATTGGATTCCGAAACTTAAAAAAAATCTTTACAAACAAAGATACATAGCGGGCTCCAGTAAATGTTCTACTAAGCCTCTTTTTTTCCTCCTCACTAAAATATTAACAGCAGTAAAGGAAAAACGTCAGGAGTACTGTGCAACAATATATTCGAGAAGTGGTATAAATCAGACGTGAATACTTAAAAATTCCAAAGAACTTTTGGAAAATTTAAAATCACAAAATTTTACCAAAATAAATAACATAGAAACTTACGACTTTTCAACTCTGTAAGCAACAATTCCCCACGACCAATTAAAGTCCAGGCTTTTTGACATCAATGACACTGCTTTTTCAATAAAAATGGAACTCGTAAATTTACATATCTTGTCATTGGTCATTTGCAAAATTATTTTGTTAAAAAATATTCTGATTGTACGCACAGATACTCTGAAGTTGATATTAAAAAGATGCTTGAGTTTCTGATTGACAATATCTATTTAGTTTTTTGTGGAGACCAGGTCTTCCAACAATCTGTTGAAATTCCCAAGGGTACCAATTGCTCCCCGATTTAAGAAGACCTATTTTTGTATTTATATGAATAAGAATTTATTCAATATCTTATACATGAGAAAAGGAAAACACGTGCTGTGGCCTTCAACTCGAAATTTAGATATATCGACGGCGTATATCAGTTAACAATAGTTATCTTCATTCATATGTTGACACGATATATCCCAGTGAGCTTGAAATAAGAGATACCACAGAATCTGACACATCTGTATTATATTTAGATATTTTACAAGAAAAAGACTTTAATGGTAACCTAACAACAAAGCTTTATGACAAACGTGATGACTTTAACTTTTCAATCGTCAACTTCCCTTACTTATGCAGAAATATACCCTTAGCACCTGCATACGGTGTTTATAACTTTCAGCTGATTCGATACGCAAGTGTATGCTCTACATATGAACAATTTCTAAAACGAGGTAAGTTATTGACAAACAAGTTGATGAAACAGGAATATCAACAGTCTCGTTTAAAGTCATCATTTCGTAAGTTCCATGGTCAATACAATGACCTTGTCAGCGAGTACAATCTATCATTAAGTCAAATATTGACTGGCATATTTCATATTAATTGTTAAGCCATTATTTACACACTGAACTGTCGACAGATTTTTCCGTTATTTCCCGATCATGACAAAGAGCAAACGGCAGGTGTGAGCGGTCGGCAGGGGATGCTCACTCCTCCATTGAACCTGATCTCACTTCTGATGTTTTTCTTGTCCGCTTTTTTTTTTTTTGCTCTGATCCTGATTTGCATTGTTTGAATGGACTTTTGAGCTTGAATACTGTTAGTTATCTCCAATATTTCACGTCTATATTATGCATAAAAGATTTAAATGTATGTTTGCAACATTTAATTCTGGACCATATAAACTTGCTGCAGCAGGTTTTATGTTAGTACTACAATTCCCTATCAAAATGTAACACACAAATGTATATAAATGTATATAATCATAAAGATTAAATGTTGGACTCTATTTTTTGTAGTTATATGGTTGCATCTGCTTCTTTTTCTGCATGACACAGTAGTAATAACAAACAACTTTTTTATTTACATTTTAATGTCAAACTCTTGTATCTATCATTCTACACTAAATGTCGCATTTTCTGTTAAATCAATATGGATTCACTCATAAAACATCATATCTAGTAAGAACACGTGTACTTAAGAGATTTTATAGTGAAAGTCATATCTATTACCTAAGTCGTTATCATAACTATCGGTGAGAATGTTGGTTCTTTCCACGTGATCGAAGGGCAGCAATTTATATAATCTTACTATCTGCTTACCTGTATATAAGTTGATGTAAGTTTCATTTCGTGCTTATAAATGTTTTTGTATTTTTTTTCCTTGCTTTATATTGCAGTAACCTTTTAAGTTCTTGTTGCCCACGCTCAGATTTTTAGTTTGGAAAATGCTCAGGTAAAACTCCGAAAACTTTATATTTAAAAAAAAATTTTGAACTCATCAATTTGCTACCCTGGCATTGAATTTTGATATCCATATATTCTTGAAAAAAATGTGAACAGCTTCTAGTGAAAGAAACTTGCTGTTCTTGAGCACAAATTACATTTGTAAAACAAAAAATCTGTTAGAAAATTCATGTACGTACATAATTTCAATAAATGACATACAATTATTGAGGTTTTTATAAGATGAATTCGATGATTTGAACACCCGAAGGGTACAATATTCATTAAGGTGAATATTTTATTTCGAGGGTTGCTATATCATGGTATTGACTGAAATTTTTATGGTTAAATGATACAAAATCGTCAAACAAACCTTGCTATCTTTCTTAATTGTTTATATTTGTTGAGGTCCTTGCCAAATGCAGTGAGATAAACTCGAATAAAATAAATATAACCAGTTGTATTAATTTAAAATTTCTTGGTCTATTTTGACACTATTTAGAATAAAATCACTGTCATATTTAATACTTGAAATACTTTTTATAACCCATTGTATCAATTTAGAAGTTTTTTTTTCAACGTAAAAAATTAATGTTATGTTTACCTGGAAGGGGAGGTCGGGTGAAGTTGAGCACAACTTTTCATAGTTACATATAATTGTAATTTATTGTATATATTGGAAGTTCTTTGATTCAATGAAGAAAAAATTGCTAAACCGAAAAGTTAAAAAAAAAATTGTTAAACCGAAAGATTAAAAAAAAAATTGTTCAACCGAAAGGTCTCGTGCA